TCAATTATCATTTTATTTAGTGGCCTGGCTTAGCAATTCAACTCCAGTTCGTCCTCAAATCCCACCTTTAGCCCTACCCACTCTTGCTTAGGACCTGCCTTTAAAGGTCAGATTGGCCAAAACTTTGGAAAGGCACAATACGTGGTGCTATCGGATGGGGGAGGGGCTCCGTTTGTTTTTTTTTCAACAGAATATGGGACGAGCGGCATGTATCCAAAGCCGAAAGATCAAATCCCATAATTTAGTAACTCGAGTCTAACGAACAAAGATTTTCGCGCACTTTACTCTTTCCTATGGATATTGTTGAACAAAGACATTTCGCGCTTATTAATGCTAAAACTCTTCAACGCAAGTGGAAGCTCGTACCACCATAGAGGAAGTGCGATCAAAACTCGACGAACAACCCTTTAAACTTGAAGCACCGGGACGAACCAGTATACCTGCGTGGATAACAGAGTGCTGGAACGAGCTTACGGCCACTACCATCTCTTGTGGGTTTCGAAAGGTGATATTATTGATGGATACACGTGTCGTCGAAGACGACGATTCTCCTTCCTGCGATACAGAGTCTACTGTGGAAAAGCTGCTTAGAATTTACCTCGTGGAGGCAACGATAGATTCGGAAGACGACATTGAGACGGGTGATGATAGCTATGCTAGCGGTGATGATAGCTATGATAGCGAGTAGATATACTACTAACCAATGCAAAGCTTGTAACTTTAAGCTTATTTTAACAAATAAAACGACATCAAATCCTAAGTAAAATAAGGTAATAATCATCTGGCATCACCAACTAATCAAATATGGGGTGACCCTTAGGACTACGAATATGCGGTAGTACGTTAGTCGAAGAGTGATTATTAATAAAAGGACCGTGTTAGCGTCACCAACTGATTTGCATAGACGGGACGAGCTTCACCAACGGATTCACCAACGGTGACCAAGTAATTGGTATTTTCATTGGTGGGTCACCAACTGATCACCAACGGTGTAATTTATTCTTCTTAAGTACGTAATATATCTTTCTAAGTGCGATCTGATTTCTCTACGATTGGGAAGCTTTTAGAGATATTTTTTATGTCGCAGGAATGTTGATAGAATGTTTTGGCTACTTGTGATATTGAAGTGGTTTATCGTCGCGGTTCGAATCGAGCTGTACGAGCAGTTTTAAAACTGCAAGTAAAAGCGCCCTCATTAACCATGAAACTGAATGGAGTTTAAAGTGAATGTATTGACTGTATTTACTCTCTGAGCCCTGGACTTCTACAGAATGCCCCCTTCGTCGACAGGAAAAAATATCGAAACCGAAGATACGCGATGTGCTCACTGGGAATATTTGGAACAGGAACTCGCCGTATCATGCACTCGAAAAATAGCAGTACTAGTGGCCCACAGCTGTTTGTGTCTTCCTGGCGTGGTGCGCGCTGTTGAATCGGCTCTAGCTCAGTTGCGTACTCCCCGAAGTACTCATCCAGCACTTCACACACACCTTTGTAGTACTTTGAGGTTTGCATGGGCTCGAAAATGATTGCTTTGCTATTCTCGTAGTCAAATACCGCGCCAGCCCAATGACCATCAATATATATGGGTATAAGAACGAGTCGGTTGCTCGTGTTGAAAGGCGAGGAGGTTATCACCTCCTTCTTCATGCTTTCATGTACTCTTGCATACAGTGGATTGACCCCTCCAATTCGACTCTGACCGTTGTTGTCCAGATCTTGATCCATAAGATGGCTCATTACGACCCGTAAACACCCATCGTCCAGCCACTCCGAACGTCGAAAGTACGCCAGTTCGTGCATGACACCCTTACTAAAACGGTTTGAAATCGCCTTGTTTACGTCGATCGCCTCCAGTCGTGTAGCACATGCCTTTAAATCCACAGTAGCACAGTTCTTCAAAGGTGTAGATAAAGCTATTCTTGAAAACTTGGACGCTCGTATCCATGAACAAAGATCTCTTACAGCTTCGAGTTTTGGTGTCTCATTGTGCCAATCTCTCATCGTAAGCAGGTCCTTTTCAGCAAATGTGCCTAGTTTTCTTATAGACACCCCCATTTTCCCAGCATCATGTTCACTTGGTAGAGACTTCCTGTAAGTGTTTATTCCAGCGATGCACTTGCTGAGGTAGTTCTTCGGAAATACGATCGTGACTTTCTGCTGAACTTTTTGCTTCCGTGCAAGTTGTACAATTGATGTAGCGCTCCAGGAAGGTGAGCCCACCTCCTCAATGCTAGCTAAAACTGGTAAAGCATCCGTCACGTTGAGGCTGCAAACAATCGTCTTGCGTACCAGAGCCAAATCCTTCACTGGAACAAGTGTGCCCTGAACCAGGGCATTGGCTTCTGCAATCGCCTCACTCATCCGGATTCTTTTGGCTTCGCGTTTTTGCTTTCTTCTAATTTTGGGCCTGCCTTTGCTCTTGACACTTGCACTAACGCGAAAGCTGCCTGGTGTAATGTCTAAGCCAGCGACTTGATCTCCATCTTCTGATGCCTCATCCTCTCCGGAACTTATACTGATAGTTTGACGTTTACGACGTATTAATTTCCCATTCAGCACTCCCTTCTTCGTCTGGTCTTTTTCAGATGCGTTCTGGCGCTCCCTTTTCTTTTTGTTGTTGCCATTGTTCTCCAACTCGTTGCCATTGTTCATCAACTCATTGCCGTGTTCAATGTTGTTCACCAACTCGTTGGTGGTGGTCACCAACTCATTGTTGCTGTTCACCAGCTCGTTGGTGGTGGTCACCAATTCATTGTTGCTGTTCACCAACTCGTTGGTGCTGCTCACCAAAGGGTTGGAGTCGTTCACCGACCGGTTGATACCTTCAGCTCGCAAGTCATCACTGTCTGACGAAACCACGTCGTCCAGCTGGCGAAGAATTCTATCGGTTTCAGCGAGTAGTATATCGGTGTCCGTCGTCTCAATTTCAATTCGCTCGTGAGTCACATCATCAGAGCTTTCATCCCTCGATTTCGTCGTATCTTCCACGTGATCTCCGTCATTTTCACGTAATTCGACTGTCTGGAGAGTAGGCGGTACTACCGATTCCGCGTCAGAACTGTCGTGTTCAAATACAGAATCGACCACTGCGGAATTTTGAGGTGTGTGGTGTTCGCTCTGTTCGTAATTACCAATGATCGGAACAACCCCTTCACTTGCACACTCCCCAAATCTACGCAACGAATTTGCCATTTCAAGGAACGTCTGCGTTCCGTGAGAGCTCATCACCTCGACAACGCGTTCTGCAATCTCCATTGCAGTTTTCCACTTCGTAGATCCATTTAGAACTGCGTGTTCTGTTGATCTCATGTTTGAATTATGGATGCGAAATCCAGGGCATGACATGTCGTCATTGGACTCATCATCTTCAGGTCCGTTGGCGTCTGATCCCAATAGCCACCGCGGGTTAATATAGTTGATCGGAATCAACTTCTTCTTCTTCATAAAGGATCTTACAAATATCGTGTGGCGACAAGGAAGTAGCATTGTGCGCATGAAGAAACAAGTGCACGCATATGTCTATAACATTCCAGTATAAATCAAAATGATGTAAGTAAGTGACAGCGTGGGAAACAAAACGTTGCCGTACCACTTACCGATATATTGACTTCGTATTTCCTGCTGGTTGTTTCCGATACCAACTGAGCAATTCC